AAATTAACAAGTAAATCTATGCAAAGTTTATACCGTTTCCAAATAACAACAATTTAGTGACATATCATAAAATTTTAAAAAATAGGTAAACCAGATGCAAAGCAGAAACGTGTGAAATGAAAGTACGCCCAAGCCCGACAGAACATATACGATCATACGTTTTTATTGCTTGATTTCCTGACTTGTCTGTTGCTATAAAAAATATGGTTAGTATATTGTTATAATTTAAAAGCAAACACAAATCAAATTAGGCAAGTATTTTGAAGTATATATCATATATGAGTCTCAAAGTTGATCGGTACAAAACACTCGCTCCTTACAACTTGAAGTGTAAAGTGCGGAAGTGGAAGCATGTAATATGAGACTTTTCCCATACCCCCTTAGGCAATCAATTTTCTATGTGTCACGTGACCAGCCCCAGCCAGGGTCTTTCCTCAACAAGAGGGAAGAGCCTGGGAACGAGGTTGACATGCAGAAGCTTATCATATCTAGCTTGTCAATGTAAGCGCGCTTAGGACGGCTGGAAGGCAAAAAATGAGAAAAGAATCATTCATGGGAATCCTCTTATACGTACAAATTAGCGGTTCTGTGGACATAACATGGCGACGGCACTCTAGTCCTCCGCAGACCCTTGTCATATAGGTCTTGGAATTTTTCGGGCATTTTTATTGATCTGACACGAATTTTTGACGACGAGAGAGGGGGCGTGTGGTACAAATTGGTGATGTGTATACGAGGTATAAACCTCTCATTCTCTTTCGTCCTCCACTGTATCACTTCTTCGCTTACATATCTTTCTCGCTCTATCTTTCTCTGTTTTCCACTTCAAACGTATCGCGGCGAAGTGAAGCGCATGTATTTGTTTCGTGAGCACTCAGATCGAATTAATGTCTTTGAAACAAAGAAGTGCGTTGTGTTTCGTTTCGATTGGAGTGAAATCAGGCTTTATTAATTAATACTCTTAAATAATTAATATATTGTATATATGTGTTTCTGTAAATAGTGCATGGCTAAATATTGAATTAATGTAATTTAGAGTTGCAGGACCCCAATGAAAAACACTTCGGTGATGTGGGTATCCTGGATAAATATGAAGATAATAATAATAATAATAATAACACCTTCGTCCACCATACTTACCCGATAGTAAAGTGTTCGATGACCGAGGGGGTGGCCTGGGACGACTGCTGTTACTTGGATTCAGGTTAAGATGAGATCCATGCAAATGGTATCTTGAGCTGACCACCAAGGGTAAAACATCACCCCACCAAGAAATAGTCGACTGATAAATGGTACACAAATATGGACAGTGGGTTAATTAATGCTATCTTATTCATTGATTTGAAAAAGGCTTTTGATCATAACATTTTGCTACAGATGTTAACTTGTTAATGCCTTCAATAATAAAACGATTGGTCTTTTTAGAAACTATCTTTCTGATCGTACTCAAATGACAAGTATTTTAATATTATTATTATTATTATTATTATTATTGATCTTTAAACACGGTAACCTTTCACATAGGTGATTTTCAAAGGGCCGTGCGGAAAATAAATGCATTATAAAAGAAGGAACTAATAAACTAAATTATACTTATTTACAAAATATACTTATTTACTTATTTACTTATTTACTTATTTACAAGATGTAATTATTTAATAGATGATGGACAGATTTTAAACTTGTTGACTCTCTTAGGGTTTTCAACAAGTTTACTGGGATGTTGTTCCAATACGCTGCTCCTCTGTACGAAAAGCTATTTTTCAAGAAATTCGTTTTTGGTTTAGGTTGAGACAGCTTTAAATTACTACTGCGCAGTACGTAACCATTGTTTTCGCAAGTGTGAAATAGTTGTGTTACGTATTCTGGAAGCATGCCATTAATCGCTTTAAATGTCATAAGGAGATCTCGCTTTTTCAAAACTAAGTCAAGAGGTTTCCAGCTAAGTTTTTGAAAAATGTCCGAAGATCTTATAGTATAGTCCGAATTTGTTATTATTCTTGCTGCTCGTTTCTGAAGCTTATATAATTTGTCTAAGTGTGTTTGGTTGTTATTTTGCCAAACAGTTGAACAGTAGTTAAAATGAGGCGCGACTAATGCGTTATACATAATTTTGAGCGTATCTAGGCCAACAAAATCTTTGGCTTTAGTAAAAGATTAATATTTTTTGATATCTTGTTGCATTGTTCTTCATTTTGCCTATTCCAGCTAAGTCTATCGTCTATAACTATACCCAAAGCTTCCTTTTTATAAACTCGTTCAATTTGATGTCCGTTTATACTGATTTTTGGCACGTGATCTAAGTTTTTCAATCGTTGCCGAGATCCAATAATCATATATTTGGTTTTTCGTTGTTTAATGTTAGTTTATTCGCTGATAACCATTTTTGAGCATTTACTAGGTCTTTGTTAAGTTTGTATTCAATATCTATGGATAAATGCCCTTGACATGATAAAATTGTGTCATCAGCAAATAAATTGGAATGTGTTGTTTCTAGGCAGTTTGGGAGGTCGTTTATGTAAATGAGAAATAATAGAGGTCCAAGATTTGAACCCTGAGGTACTCCACAACGAATTGTTTCAATATCAGATTTACAGTTATTTAGCATGCAAATTTGCTTTCTTTGATCTAAATACGATTGGAACCATTTGAGCGTGTGGTCGCGTATCCCATAAGCTTGTAGTTTTGACAATAGAATCTGGTGATCAATCGTATCAAATGCTTTTTTCAGGTCTAAGAAAATAACCCCATTTATTTGACCCTGGTCCATTGATTTCAACCACATTTCAGTAGATTGTAGTAACGAGGTTTCGGTTGAGTGATTGCGACGGAAACCTGATTGATTTTTTACAATTATGTTGTTGTTATCCAGGAAGGTATTTAGTTGTCTACAGACCAATTTCTCAAATATTTTGGCGATATTCGAAATGACTGATATCGGTCTATAGTTTTCACATAAGGTTTTGTTTTCTGACTTATATATTGGAGTCACTTTGGCAAATTTCCAATCATCTGGAAATATTCCTGTCCTAAGAGATAGGTTAAACACTTCAAGAAGTGATTCAGTTATTTTATCGCCTGCCTGTTTTATTAGCTTAGTTGAGATCTTATCTAGACCTGTAGATTTTGCCATTTGCATATTTTGTATTTTTCTTTTCAGCTCATAGCTTGATATGCTATGAAAGTGAAATACATTTGTGACTTGGTCTATATATGACAAAGGATCAGGACTACAGCCATTGTCAGCAATGTTATTTGCTAATTTGGGACCTATAGAAGTGAAGAATTTATTAAACTCGTCGACTATGGCTTTATCTTGTGTTACATTTTTTCCATGGTCTACGCTAAATTCATTAACAATTGTGGTTTTGGATTTCAAAAATGAACCTTAGTTGCTTTGATTCTTTTGTTAAGTTCATTTCTACAACGTTTATAAGAAGATACGGTAATTAGAAGAGTTAAATTTGACCGCTTTTTGTTTCAAGTAGAATTTATGATGCGCAAGGTTTTTTATTTCGTTTGTCATCCAAGGACAGTGCTCACTTTTGACTTTCCGTATCCGAAGTGGAGCATGCATATTTGCAATATCAAGAAAAATAGTTTTCCATACCTCCCACGCATGATTTGGGTCGGCATAATTATAGAGGTTGTTGTGTCTTTGAAATGCCATTTTTAAGTCGTATTGAAATGCAGATGAATTAAAGTATTTAAACTGCCTTGTTTCTACAATTTTTGGTTCAGCTCTAGGTATTCCTACTTTGCGGCAAATGTACACTAAACTGTGATCACTCAGTCCTAAATGTATCACTCCAGAGTCTATAATTTTGGTATCGCTTGCTTTAGTCATTATTATGTCAATTAAATGTTTTAGATGTTGTCGTTATTCTAGTCGGACTTGTAATGTGTTGGTTTAGCAGAAACTCATTTATCAGATCGGATAACCTTTTTGTATGATGAGTGGGACTGTTTGGCATCATATCGCAATTTAGGTCGCCAGTGATAATAATATCAATATTTGTATCATCTAGTTTTCGCAGTAACGTTTCGAAGTCGTTTAATATGCTAGTGTTAGAATTTGGTGGACGATACCATGTAACAATTAAGAGTGGTTTTGACTTAGGTTTTTGAATTTCAAGACAAATAGATTCTAAGTTGTCTGGAATAAATTCGATATGGTTTTTATAACTAATGATACTTCTTATATAAATTGCTACACCGCCACCATTTCGATCTCGGTCTCGTCTTACAATATCATAACCTGGTATCTTAATAATATTGTCGTTAATTGTATTGTCTAATCTAGTTTCGTTTATGCAAAGAATGTCGAATAATATTTCCTTCATGAATAATTTAAGCTCATCCATGTGTTTCGGCAAACTAGTAATGTTTAAGTGGCCAATTTTAAAACCCTTTAGTTTTGGATAAGACTTATTAATTTGGAAAGGAATTTTTGGGCTTTTCGAGGTGCAGCGTGCTGGACTATCGGAATTATCTTTGTCGACTATATTATTATCGCTGTGTCTTATGTCATTATTATTGTCGTTACCTAGTCAATTCCTATTAAGAAATTGCTTTATGTTTTTTGCTAAGACTGATGTACCCTGCTTATTTAAGTGCAGTCCGTAGTTATTTAAATGGTTTACGTCAATATTATTGTGCCTGATAAGACACCAATTTCGTTCTATACATAGTTGGGATAATCCCTTGTTATATTCGTTTACCTTATCAGCCAATGTTTTATCGTCATTTCTTGTTATGATTTTTGATAAAACTAATTCAATATTCCCGTTTTCTCGAGTAATGCTCTCTCCAAGCTTTTGTACATGTGTCAACAATTCATCTGGCGTCATTCTTTGTAGATCATTGGTTCCGACGTGTAAAATAAGCTTATTTGGTGCCGTGAGTAGCGTTGGTTTTACATAGTGATTCATTTCTTTTATTCCCGCACCAGGAAATGTTTTTACAACAATTTTATGTTTCATTCCTTGTTGAATTCGTCT